ACCTGAGGTTCAACTTACCGTTCTGAAGTTAGATTATTATAGTCCGCGGCGCGAAGCGCCGCGCACACTTTTAATTTACACGCGAAAAAACTTACTCCCAGCGGCCGCGGGAAACAAATTAAACTACATTTTTCCACTGAACACTTCTACAAATTTCCTTCCCTGCCTATCCTATTTCTCCACCCCAAAACCCCTACAACACCCGTTTCCGTAAGACAAAATGCTGGGACGAGGGATATATGAGGCGCACTACTTAGGCTACCTTTGCCGTCTCGGCCGCTTACCTGGATTCAACCAGGAAGATTGAGTAAATTACACAGCGGTGAAATTTGGGGCCCAAATCTAGCGATCGTATGTCAGCTAACGTCTAGCGTAAGAGAGAAGGCTCGGCGAGCCCGCAAAAGGCCCCCACACAAAGCAACGCACCCGAAGATAAATGCGACCTAGTAGAGCATAAAGAGGCTGGTGTTCGTTCAGGGGTCGGAGTTGTTCGATCATCAGCTCCGCGGTGTCAATGGCTGAAGGATAGTCGTGATCGGAGAGGTAGATGGAGAGACAGGAAGCGAGGATGCGACACTCGCGTCGACGCCAAAGTCGTAGAGAACCTTCGTGAGAGCAAAAAAAGAAAGCAATATTGCAAGGAAGGGGGAGAGGAGATACAGAGAATTAATTCGTGATTGGAACGGACGATGACGGTCGGTACCATTCCGCTTTTAAATTTATTTCTTTTTCAATTGAAGCGGAGGAGGAGGGGGGAAGAGGTGTTTAAAAATAAGTAGTATAAAATGCGATACGCTATTCGCGCCACTTTTTCGGAAGTTTACAGTAAAGCTGGTTTGATGTCAGCGTCTGCTCCTAGAGAAAAACGAGCCGCGTATGAGCTATGCCAATAACATGACTGATATCAATCTAAGTGTATTCTTTCAGTGTCAAAATGATAGTGTGACAGCCACTGAAACAGAAACTAAGAGGACTGCTCCTCCTGGGAGTACTGTGGAGTGACTGGAGAACTGAGAGTCGGACTGCAATCCCTCCTTCCCAACATGACTGGTACGACACTCTGGTTCATGCAAGGTCTGAGCCGCCTTCACAGAAGCCTGGCAAACCTGGACTGGGGCCTTGATCAGGTCTGGCTTACTATTCAACAGTTCGATCGTCTAGTCCGACGAGATTCATCGTGGGCACTACACCATAATGGGCACAGGAACGATAACAGGCATGTGCATAAAATTATAGTGGTAGGTGACTTTCGCTACATGTACCCTACTCTATCCTCCTTTCCCCAACTGGGACCGGTGTTATGACCGAGGCGGGAGAAGACACATGCGGTTGGCGCGGCCGGAACCGTCCCCAAGTGCGCTGCCACACCTGGTTCGGATCTCAGCGAGTGCGAGTAACATAGAGATTGTATTTCGAAAAGCGCCATTG